TAAATACATGTCTGTGCCATCATCTTAAAAGAGACATTGATCCTTCAAGAAAGGAAAATGGAACAGCAATCCTGCATCAATTTTCCTGAAGGCAAATCAACAAGATGTACTTCTCAGTAGATTTTATAAGGCTGCGCTGGACTTATCTTAAGATGGTACTTGCCAAATGTTATGAGCTGAAGCACATTTTTATGTTGCCTGATAAATTGGGGGTCACCTTTTTGGTTGATTAATCAGTCCTACTAATTTAACAATCAAACATCATGGCCCTGCTTTAGACACTTCAGAAAACTGTATGAGCAAACTCACATGGGCTTTACTTTCAGTTTGCTAGTTTTAGGAAGGTGGCATAGATCTTTGATTTGGTGCCCTCCACAAATTTTGGACTACAGTTCCTTTCAATGTGAATGATAGTTGTTGGAAGCGTAATCCAAAATATTGGAAGACACCAGACTGAGGTTAAGGAATGAACGTTTCAGACCTCTGGTCTGTTCCATCCCTCACCATTGCACTTTCTGCTCAGGATGGAAACAAAATCCACAACTCATTCAAATCAATTCTGATTTCTGTGACTCAAACCTCTGGATGTAACAGGTGACCCTCTTTTTTAAGCCTTTTGCACTCTGCCACTTGTGGATGGGTTTCTCTCCTTGCAGGGTGGATTTGGGCTAATGAAACTTAGGACAAGTAGAACAAAATTTGTCTAAAACCCCACCTGTTCCTGTCAACAAAAGAATCTGTGGAACACAGACAATACAAGTTCTGTATTCCCCTTGACCTGAAAATCTGCTGTTTTGCCCCTGAGCCAATGGAAGCTGGAGTGGGAAATTGGGGTCCAACAGCCCATGCAAGGAAAAAGAGTCCCCCTCCCAGCCTTAGTCTGCTGTGGGAACGGTGATGAGAGGCACAACCAGTGAGGGGCCAAGAAGAGGGTTTGCAGAAAGAGGGAGCACCCCAGAACCCCTGCTGGTGTGCTGTACCGCTTGCACCTCAAGGAAGAGGCCGCTTGCGTCCCTTGGGCTTTGGCAAAGGAGTTTGCAACTTACCTTACTGGCTGCCAGCCATGCTTTCTAAACTGCTACATTGCCTGAGACAGTAAAGCCAAGGTATGATGCATTGCATGGTACCTGCAAGAACTATCAATAGAAGATCTTTTAGCCTGTGCAAGGTCTGTCTTTTAACCAGCTAGCTGATAAATTGGCAGTATGAACATACATCTGTAGATTGCAGTTCCTAAAACTCAAACTAGACAAGGGCCATATGGCCGTGTTGCTTTCCCAAATGTGTCCCACCCAGGGAGAAAAAGTCAGCTGGGGAGGGTGACTTTGAGCTGGAAATGCTGGGATGGGATGGGATTAAGCTGTTCTTCTTGCTGCACACAGCCTCCTGAGGTTGCTTTTGTCTGTGTTTTAGTTTTTGTTTAAATAGTAAATAAGAATCCAACTGAACATTGTATCTGCTTTGGCCCCTTGTGAAGGTGCTTTGTAGGAGTTTCCTGAAAGACATAACTACTGAATCAGCTAAACCTTTAAGCAAATGGAACACAGATGTCCTTATTTCAAGAATGCCATCTGAACTATATTTGTGATGCAGCTCCGTACCTCTTTGTCAGAGTGGTGGATCCATTCATAGAAACGAAAATGGAACTAATTTACGCAAGGTCATTATACGTTCCCAGGGCTTTGCCGAGTCATGTTTCAAAAATAATTCCAGCCCAGATCTTTACTTTTGCATTTTGAAAGGCGAACTGGTGGCACGGTAAGGTAGGGAAAAGGTTACACTGGTCTGACAGTTTAATTCCACTAGAGCAAGGGAATCCATTTTCTTCTGCGACACTGAGTTGCAATTTTGTGCCATCCAGTTCAAAATCAATGCTGGCAATAACCTATCTATAGAAAGCAATTTTTGAGCTCATGCAATTCTGACAGTCCTGCAAATATGTTCCAGCCCAGTGACACTCAAAACATGAGTGAAATGCTCAATGCTCAACATCACCTCACTAGCAAATTATAATCCAACCTCATTACCTGTAAAGAAATATTTGCAGTCCAAAAAAGCCTTTAGATTTTTTTTCAGAGCAATTCAGCCAAGGAAGCTCTGTGTGAAGGGTACACAGTTTCAGCCTAGGGCCATATCAAGATGGCCTGCAATCCAACTGGGCCTTCTGGGATTTCCAGGAAAGCTATGCCCCCTCCCTTGCACCTGACTGTTGATCATTTGGTAGTTTGCAGGCTTTTGCAATTTTTCCTCCATTATAAAAGCTTCCAATGAATCTCCTTAGCTGCTGGAAGCTCCAGCCTGCCAGCAACTATGGCTTAGGAGATTCACTGGAAGTCACGGCAGCATGTTGGTCATGCCTTTTTCATCTGGCCCACTCCAGTTCTGCCTTTGGTCCTGTCCACCACTGGAACGCAGCCTCCAGAATTTCTCCAGAGCTGAATTTGGCCTCAGCCTCCAAGATGCTTAATACCTCTGTTCTAAGACAAGCTGGACACGCTTCTGCAGAAGTTAGTTACGGCTGCAAAGGCAATCAGATGCACACTTATCTAGGTATAAGGTTTGTGGAACACAATGGATCCTGTCCTTCAGGTCATCATACCCAAGGTTGCAAAGCAAGGCTGCAGTTTTATATGTTTGCTTGGGATTGAGACCCTTTTGATGACTATAGGAGGAAATATCCTGTTGAAATCAACAGGATAGGGTAGTAATGATGGAAATGTCAATCTTGTAGATCTGTAGAGTGGGAGCAGGGCTTGTGGGCCATCTAATCCAAGTTCCTGAAGGAACCTCAGTGTTCTAGCATTTCCAACAGAGGGCTTTTTATTTCTGCTAGAAGAACTCTGGTGTGGTGTTCTCCATACCCAGGTTGTATCTAAATCACATCTCTGGTTTTGCTCTCCTTTATTTCTCCCTTTCCTTTAAATACCCAGACTAGGCATAGATGACAGTCATCACAAGCAGAAGTGGTTTTCCAGAAATTTGGGTGCCAATGACACCCAAACTCTATTCTTTCTCTCCCCTACCCCACATTGTTACATAGCTTAAGGAAGATGCACCTCTCCATATCACACAGCCAGCTCCTGAAGTTAGGTTGCATCATTTACAGTAGTCTTCCTCAGCCTTGAAATGTTTGAGACTTCAACTGCCCTCATATTGAATGGTAAGGGATGATAGGAGTTGTATTTCTAAGCATGGTGGTGGAAACCAGGCCAAGATAGTTATTCTACACCCGTATTTCTTTGCCTTCCCTCCTTTGTACATCAAGACACTTAAGGAGCAATCCTATGCATATTTAGATGGGCAAACAGTCCTACAACTCCCAGCAATCCTTGGCCAGCTGGAGAATGTTGGGAGCTGGCTGGGAATGCTGGGAGTTGTAGGACTTTTTTTGCCAGTTTAAACATCTATAGGCTTACCATCCCAACTCCTCTATCTTACAGTTGTCCCTCCCTAATCCTTTCTCAAAAACTCTAGTACAGGAAACAGAGCTTTACTCCAGTTTTTGTGCCATCCAGGATGCACCTTGGGAACTGGGGGTCTTTCCAACTGGAACTCTGGACATACAGAGTAGTATTCCTCCTCACGGGTCAGTCATCATAGCTAGCACCTTCCCTATTGGAACCAAGTGACAGGTTTTCCTGTCTCAGGTTTTCCTGAAGTTTTGTTGAACTACATTTCCCATCATGCACTAGACTGGAGAAAGTGATGTTATGAGTTCTATTCTGGCGTGGGTCTGTCTGTCTGTCTGTCTGTCTGTCTTTCTTTCTTTCTTTTCTTTCCGCGTGCTAACTATGCCCGTCTGTCAACCTCACTGCCAGCGTACTCAACCTCCAACACGTCCTCCACCCTAGATCCCGAAATCCCCATCCTTCTTCCGCTTCTCTCCTCCGTCGGCAGCTGATCCCATCCGGCGGGGTGAAGCTTTCTCCAAGTTGGAGAGCCTCTCCTACCCGGGCGATCGCTGCCCGGGCTGCAGCGTTACAGACACGCAGGACCCCCAGCTCGCCGCTCGCTCTGCCCACGGACCCACCAATGGAGACGGGGGCTCGTCCCTGCCCCACCGCGCGCAGGGTCCGCAGGATCGCCCTGCCGGCTCCCTCCTGCCCCTCCTCACGGAAGGCCCCCTTCCCTTCCCTTCCCTTCCCTTCCCTTCCCTTCCCTTCCCTTCCCTTCCCTTCCCTTCCCTTCCCTTCCCTACCTGCGGAAGGCAGCCACGAGGCAACGCTCCCTCCAGGCCCGCCGGCCGGAGCCAGGCGTGGGCACCGCTTCCCGCCGCCGCCGCGTGTCTTCCTCTCGCTCCTTCTCGCCACCTGCTCGCGACCACCTTCCTCACCCCTAAGCCTCCGCCTTCGGGCGAGAAAGAGACGGACTGCGCGGCCATTGGCTGGCGGCGGGCGCGCCCGCCGCTCATTGGCCGCGGGCGGCGCGGCGCGGGGCGTGGCCGGCGCTGACGAAAGCCCGGGGTTGGCGCGCGGGGAGGGGGCCCGGTGGAAAGGCGGGGTCGGCGCGCGGCGCGGCGCCTTTTGTGCGCTCCGGCGGCGGCGGGGAGCTTTTCCTGGCCGTGGCGGGCGAGGGAGCGGGCGGCACCTCCGCCTCCGCCTCCGCCTCCTCCGTCCCCCGCTCGTCCCCCGCCTCCTCCTCTTCCGCGCTATGCATTCGAGCGCTCCTGAGCCTTGCCAGGGGCCGCCGCCGCCGCCGCCACCGCCGCCGCCGCCGCCTTCGTCCCCGCTGCAGCTGCTGCTGCTGCTGCTTCTCCTCCTTCCCGCACGTCGAGGGGCGCTGGAGGAATAGAGCGAGGCGGCAGCCCGGGCGAAGGGCCGCCGCGGAGCCCCGAGTGGGAGAGGCGGAGGCGGAGGAGGCAGGCAGGCAGGCAGCCGCTCGCCCGCCCGCCCCTTCGGGGAAGCGGCGTGCGCCAGCGACTCCGGCGAAGCAACCCCGCTCGGTGGCGCGCGGAGAGACGCGGCCGAAGGAGGGCGCGGCGGACGGGCGCACCCCTCGGCGCGATGCTGGCGCTCGAGCTCCTGGGCTTGGCTTGGCTGGCCGGCGTGGCGCTGGGGCAGAACGAGACGGAGCCCATCATCTTGGAAGGCAAGTGCCTGGTGGTGTGCGATTCCAACCCGGCCTCGGACCCGACGGGCACGGCGCTGGGCATCTCGGTGCGCTCGGGCAGCGCCAAGGTGGCGTTCTCCGCCATCCGCAGCACCAACCACGAGCCGTCGGAGATGAGCAACCGGACTATGATCATTTACTTCGACCAGGTAGAGCGCACCCGGCGGTGGCGCGGCGCGGCGTGGGGGCCCTGCCTAGCTGAGGCTCCGGGCGAGGGCGAGAGGGGCGAAAGAGGTGTTGCCGTCCGCTGATCAGACCGGGGGAGGGGGGGGTGGTTACGGGGTGACCGCGGGCTGGGCTGTCTTAGGGGTGGTGGACGGAACGGTTGCTGCCCTGGGTGCTGGCGCCCTGCCCTCTCCCCGCTCCTAAATTCTTCCCAGCCCAAGGCGATCCCAGGTTTAGAGCTGGATAAACGATTTCCAGAATGTGAATTGCCCTTCGAAACTTCAGCGCGGCGGCGGGGGCGGGGAGACGCGGGCGATCGTCGGGGTGGAGAAGCTTCCCGTGGGTCTCTAGCGCGGTTGGTTTCCCCTCCTCGCCATCGAGAGGCAGGCGCGGGGTCCTCGTTCCCAGGTGGATGGTTCGAGCCAGGATCCAGCGGAGGGAGCGCTGTGTCTCTCCGGACCGGCTGCGGAGGGAGATATTTCCGTCGGCGCGGAGGCACCCAGCTGCTGGGCGCCCTTTCACGTTCCCCGCCAGCCCCCCGCCTTATTTTCCCCTCTTTGCTTTGTAGGTACTAGTGAATATCGGACTCAACTTTGACTCGGAGCGGAGCACTTTCATTGCGCCCCGAAAGGGGATCTACAGCTTTAATTTTCACGTGGTGAAGGTGTACAACAGACAAACCATTCAGGTCAGCTATTAGGGCTCCTTTATCGGGGGATTCTTCCTTCGGAACCGTGGCTCGTGTGCGAGGGAGTGAGGGAGAAGGCGTGCGTGGGGGGTCTTCCAAGCAGTTTGCTTGCGAACTCTTCTTGGAGAGGAGCTCCCACTGAATCTGGCAGGGCTGCCTCCTGAGGACAGATGAGCAGCGTCCAGGCCTCGCCTGACGTTCGGACCCTCTCCCATTTCTTCTAAAAGCAACTTTCCTTCTGCCGTTTAACATTCAAACCAAATGCAAGGTGGCAAAGTCTGGTAATTCCAGATCTTCCCAATTCCATCCATGGCGTGGCAACTCCCAGCAGGGTCCAAGCTGGCCGGGAATGATGGGAATTGCAGGCTGAGGGCACCAGGTTTGAGGGACTACAAACCCCCTTAGAACAACAGACTTCTGTGTGTTGGAATTAAAAAATGAAAGTAGTTGCTTAAGGATTCTTTTCAGACAGCCAGGCCCTTTGTAAGGTAAATCGCCACCCATCCTTGAAATAGGAAGGGATTGCATGGGAAATCCCGAAAGCCGGTGGAGCCCTACAAGCTCGCTTTTATGATCCGTAGACATTTAAACTTGTTTTCTGCCTCCCTCTCTTGACAGTCTGGACTTCCGCCCCTCTAGTACTTGTACAGTCGAGGCTGTGATGCCATGTTCAGTTACATAGGAGTCAACCATGGCACTGAATTGGAGTTCATTCCAAGTGAACATCTGTGCTTGCTGTAAACCAAGACATCCCGAGACATTAGTGATGGGATGGTCTGTAAAGGCTTTAAACAAACAAACAAACATGCTTTGTGATCAGCCTACCTATGAATGGTTTTTCCTGTTGTAGAAAATGCAGTTTCAAAACATGCTTACATTGTGATCCCATAGAAATCCAGGCAGAGTGGCCAGATCTATTCCCTCCCCTCCCCCATTCCATACAATAACTTTTCTTTGATCAAAACTTGTTGCCCAGAGGCCACTCCCCCCACTCCCCTTCTAAGCTGGTGTATTAAAATTAATCTGCCTTCCTGTTATTTTAAACCAAATATGTAAAAGGCTTGAAACTGCAAATGAGATCTGCAGGCTAAAATGAATGTATAAAAGGAAGCAAATCACACTGAATTCAATGAGACTTAATCCTGGACAAGTGTGCATAGGATTTCAGCCTTATGTTACATATATTTACATTCATTTTAAATGAATGTTATGCCACCTTCAACGGTTGGAAAACAGGACTAGAATAGAAGACCAATATATTCAAACACAGAGGTAGATAAGCTTATGCTGTACCAAATTTCATGTTTAACAAATGGTGCTTTGTACATTTTGCATTCACCTTCCACGAATCACATTTTAATCTCTTTTTCTGATCCAAAGATCATTATTGATATCGCTTTCTCCCATCTGTCTCCTGTCCACATAATTCCATAAGCTTCCTTTCCTTTCACCTCCCCATAGGAACAAGGAACTTGGACTAACCTGTTAGAAAAAGAATCCCTCTCTTGGCACCTATTTGGGAGTTGACTAGTGTACAGAGCTCACTAGATTGGGAATAAGGAATTATGGGACGGAGTTGGGCTTTGTCCTGATGGACTGAGTAGTTTAGACCACCCCCCCCCCCCCCAAGGAAGGATTTGGCAGATGCATCTTGGGTCTTCATGGAAAGCCACAGTTCCTGAAGAGAACCGTGGAAAGAATTTCCCTTACGACCAGCTCCAAAAAGACTGAGTTGCCTCTTGGCTTCCTCTTTCCTCCCTCCCGTCCACCGCCATTCTCCCCTTTCCATACTAGCCCAAGGCTTTGTCTGGTTAGATCACCCAGAAAAGGGTATTCTGTGTCCAAAGGCCCTTCAGGTCTGGTGGACGATGGCCTTCCCCACCTCCAGAGAGTGAATAACATGGTTGGATGTACCAAGACTCCTGGGCTATGCAGTGGCACTGCATGAAATGCCTTTTAAATGGCTTCCAGGAATATAGTTGGATGGTGCTTGGCTTTTTATTTTTTATTTTTAGCTCGAGCTATATCCCTTTCTCTGTCTAGCTATGGAACTAAATTTAGGTCAATGCCAGAAGCTGTGTGCTGGATAATAGCGTGTTAAAGCACCTGATCCAGTGTGTGCTTTCCCAGGAGTAAGTGTGTAGTTCAAATGTGGGTGTGTTGCATACGAAATATAATTTGCCCAAATGTTGTATATATAAAATGTGCGAATGCATACATTCATACCGTTAATTGTTTGCTAATTCAGACAGCTGTAATTGTGGCTCAGTTTGTCATGAATGGCGGGTAGCTTCTACACTGAGGGCCAGATCTAGAGATTGCCGGGGGTGGTGTGTGTGGGGGGGGGGGGGGAGAGGATCCCAGACTGTTCTAGAGGATTCCAGTCCAGGACACACACACCACAATTTGGCTAGATCTGAGGGACAGGTTTTGTGGATTTCACTCGGGGCGCTTTCCTTCCATGCATCATTTAGGCGCCACTTCTTCTATATAAATCCAGATCCCCTGGTTAAAAAGTGGCAGTGGGTCTCCATGGGTGTCCCGATGTCAAGAATGGGAAATTGAACCTGCCCTTTCATGCGCATTCTTAATGATGTGCATGAATGTGGTTCTGCTGCGGACGCATCAAAAGGCAGCTATCTGCTCTGCTTGGGCAGGTAGGCGAGTTCAGCTCCGTAGGATACATATTGGCTCTGTCGGGATTCTGCATTTTTGCAGCTTCACAAAGGGGTGAGCACCCCCCCCCCATGCACTTCAGAGATGCTGCCTCGGGCTTGGATGCCTTTATCCCCTTTCTCTTCTCTTTGAGGATTAGCAATGGGGGGAAAAGCACAAATGTCCAGCATTCCTGAAGGACAAGCATGCGTTCGAAAGACAAGGGGTGGCATCCAGTGGGAAGGGATTCATGCAGGAATTTGAGTGTTGTTTCTTATACCTGGAGGACTCTTGAAATGCCAGGCTTTTGTGTGGGCTTACAAGACCATGTTTTCCTCTTAGAAGCCCTGGAAAAAGATCCGTAACTTAGGGGTGGTTTTTGTTGTGTGTGTGTGCACACGTAAATGCATATTATGCTTTGAAGTGAAAAGCAACGTACTTAAACACAAAATCATTTGGGGGCAGTAGGAGTTAAACCTGTAAAGACAGTCCTGCTGAAGGTAAAATTACCTTTTGTTGAGTCCAGAGAGCACAATTCATCTGAACTGGCAGCACGAAAGAGCTGTGCATTCATTTAAAAAGGAAGACGAGGATTCTGTTCGGACAGAACTCATTCCTAGAAAGTTTGGAAGGGTGACCCCTAACACCGTGTCAGCAGGCTGCAGTCTTGTGTCCTTTCCTTTGACATCTTCCCTCCCCACTTTTTCTTTTCATTTCTTCTTTGTCTCTCCCGCTGATGTAAGACATCTTGCTTGTAGGGTTACCTGCTGCATTTGGGAAGCAAAGTTACAGATGGAGAAAAGCAGGTTTCTGAAGGAGAGTTGCCCAGGAGGGAATGGAGTGGATGAGTCTATCCCCTGCTAAAGCAACACTTGGATTAAATAGCATGCCCTACACAATTACTCAAGAGTAAATCCAATTGCACCTTAGTCCTGCAGAGCGTATAGCAGTAGGCATCCTTCCTGGGAGTCAGAGCCATTGAACGCAGTAGGACTTACTTCTGAGTAGACAAGCACGGGGTTGTGTTCTCAGTGTTCTTTTGCTGGAAGTGAAAGATCTAATGAACAATTAATGTGGGGAACAGCAGGAGAGAACTCTCTTTGACTGGATTGTTCTTGCTACACGCTGTCAAATCAACTCTGACTTAGGGTGATGCTATCAATGGAAGCCCTCCAAAATGCCCAATCCAGAATGCCCCACCAGCCTGTGTGTGTGTGTGTGTCTGTGCGCGTCCCTCTGTCCATCTGTCTGTCCATATCTATCTAGTCTCCCAAGAGCAGCAAGCTGTCCTCTTCCCTTTTATTGATGGGGGCTTTGTTTTTTCTCTTGCATCTCAGGTGAGCTTAATGCTTAATGGCTGGCCAGTGATTTCTGCCTTTGCTGGGGACCAAGACGTCACCCGAGAAGCTGCCAGCAACGGGGTTCTGATCCAGATGGAGAAAGGAGACAGAGCATATTTAAAACTGGAGAGAGGAAACTTAATGGGAGGCTGGAAATATTCCACCTTCTCCGGATTTCTAGTATTCCCTCTTTAAAAAACTTGCTGACTAAAGAAGGAAGGGGGTGAGAAAAGGAAGCCTGCGAATTGCTTACCAGCCCCTGAATTGTAACAGGATAGAAGGAGCTTTGGACATCACACTTCTGGATAATATCTACAGATTGCAGAAGTTAAGCCCTGACTTAGGTTTGTGTACATTGCTCGGAAGATCTCTGTAACGGTGCAGTCGACAGACAGAAGACGCTTGACTTCATCATCCTTCAATAATATTTCTCTTTTCTTTGCAAACCAAATTAATTACGGCTCCATTTAACCACTGTTGTCCCATGTCCCCTTCTCCCTGTCCTTGTGGGTTCCCCCCTCAAAACACCTGTATGTTTTCGACGTTGCATTATCCTTTAACAACCAACCTGGGTTTGTTTTTAACACTATATATATATTTTTTACTCTTTCCCTGAGTTTAACTTTTAAAAAAAGTATTTTTGAATATCTGGGTGCCATGGTGAGAGGTGCAATGCAAACCTTGCTATATGCTAATAAGTCAAACTGGGAAATAATAATTATATATATATATATATATATATTAACATGAACTGTTCTAGCCAATTCCTGATTTTCACTATTTCTATGTTAATCTGAGTGATTGTGGAATTTACAGGCTGCTTAATGTTTTGACGCTTGTTTTTTGCTCTCGTAATTGTGGCCCAAATACATGCCGGAAAGTATATTGAATTTTCCTAATTACTCTGTAAGATAAGGTGTGAATATTGACAAATTAATTTGGGGTTTAGTTTTACTAGCTTTGAAATGGGATTTTAATTTTTTTTCTGAGATGAGAAATGTGGTACAGTTAATGCCATTTTAACTAGAATTAGAACAAGGATCAATGGAACAGACCCTGATAAAGATAGGGGCAGGAATATGCAGTTCTGAATCCCAGATGGAAGAAGTGATAAATAAATGCTTTAAAAGCGAACTACCCATGCAAGAATTCCCTTTTAGTAAAGTCCTTGCCCCGTCATTGGTCTTCCTCATTCTTTTATGTGTCGTTTTTAAAATGGGAAGGCAGGTAACTTAACAGTTTCAGGAACTGTGCTCTCAATTCTCGACAAGGTGGCTCTATTGAATAGGTGCCACAAGAAGAAAGTAGGAGTATTTCCCAGCCTGAGCAGTTACAGAGAAAATGCCTACAAAATTGTCCTTTAGGTCCTTTCTACCATTGTATGTATTATATCTCTAAATCACGTCACATTTTATACAACTGTCTTATTCAGAGAAAGAAAAGAAATCTTTACCAGGTATAACTAAAATGCTAGTATTATTATGTTTACAGTCTTTCAAAGATGTAAATGCTATAATTTTTGCAGCATTCTAAAGAGAATAACTACTTTTATTATCAAGGTACAGTAAAATACTTTTGATTGTAATCAAACCATAATGTGAAATAAAACCAGTGGAAGAAACAAATGGACTTTGTGGGCGGTGGAGAACTATCTAAATAGGTTTTATTCCCTCCCCCCACCACTTTGGCTGTTCTGTTGTGTGAAGCATAGAGATCAGATCTGGAATTTAATTATGTGCCTATAAATCAAAATAATCACTGGATCTAAACAGCCAATTTCTCAATTTGCAACCCTAATGTGGACAGCGACTGCTGCAGAGTTAAAATCACAAGGCTTCCTCTTCTAAACCTGGGTTCCAAGAAGGAATTTAATTAGCTCCTAGGGGGGCAGTTAATTCTAGCTTAATAAGCAATGCATTATTTTATGCTGAATGCCTTCTCTTTTTGGGGGGATGGTTGTAAGTCCTTTTAATGGTTTTGCGCAACAAATGGAGCTGCAGTCTTTTAAAAAGCCTTTGGCAGGATGGAGAGGTGTTGTGTACTTCTCTCCGTGTGTGGCAGGGGGAGGTAAGAGAAAAAGAGGAGGCGGATACATTCCATTTGTCTGACATCTTGGAAGCTGTCAGAGAGTCCTTTCATGGAGGAGCAGAAAGTAGATCCTGGCACATCTTTGGATGGCTTGCAGTAATCCAGCAAGGGTTTCTGTCTCCATATTGTCCTCCTGCCGCACAATCAAAAATAATTAGATTGCTGAAATGACAATGGACATGCCAGGAGGACAATGATGGGGAAAGATAAGGATATCTTTATTTACATATTTACAACATGTATGTACTGCTCTCTATCTAAACAGATGCCAGATAGGTGGATCTGTTTATCGAAAGGTAAAACAGGTGCCAAAAAAATCAAAATGGGGTATCGATAAAATTAAGACCTGCTAGTTCAGGAATGTTTCCTGAAATAACTATATTTTCAGGAGGTGCTGAAAACCGTGCAGGGTCTTGCCTGATTGATCTCCAGGGGTGGTTCCATGGAGCCGCTACATGGAAGGGTCTCCTCTAGTGGACTCAAGTTGGACCAAGTGGAACCACGAGAAGCATGCGTGGTGTAATTGTGCTTCGCTCTCAAATACCTCTTTGAACACCATTGTGCAAAGGTTTGAGTGGGTGATACAGTCTTATTTAGTGCTTGAGAAAGTGTTTTTTTGCTTTTGCTCCAGATGCATCACATTCTTTCCCTTGGGGGGCTCAGCAATCTGGAATAAACTCTGGAATGTAGCTCCCCACTGTGGCAGACTGGACAGTTTGGGCACTATTTGTCAGAACATCTCGTGAGCCGGAATGGTGTACAGTGGCAAAAGAGACACTATTTGCATTAAAATCGCGTAGGCTACTTTATGTCCATACATGTACATTGAGAAATATGACTGGTGTGCAAACAGAAATCCAGTGCATCTTGCTATGGGGAAATACTGGGAGCAGGTGACCTGGAGATCTTCTCCATCTCCTGCCCAGGGCCTCTGGATGGCTCTTCCTCTTTGGAGCATCTTCAGACCGAACTTTGAGCAGCCTGCCCTTTGAAGAGAGGTCATCCTATGTCAGGTAGGCATGTAGCCACCTTAGGGGAGGTTTGGAGCTGGGGACTTCCAAGGAGAGCTTTCCTGATTTGCCACATGCGTCTGGAAATAATGACCGTCTTCAGCCCAGGAGAGGGACGAGAGGTACAGGAATGCTGGCTGGGATCGCTGCTGTGAGACCGTCTTTAAAGCAACGGCTCAGCTGTTGCCTCCAGCACTTCATTAGGATCCGATCTCGCTTCTTTGGCATCCTCAGCCACTGGCTCTGAGCCTGCCAAAAAAGTAGATAAAGGAAAGCCCCAGTGACTGAGATGGATAGAGAAGGGGTAGAAGAGGTCACCGTGCTGTTTTTAAACTGAGAATTGTTCATTTTGCAATCACTGGTGAAGAATTGTAGGTACGGAAGGGAAGGCTTTTCTCTATCCCTTTCTCTAGAAAACCTTCCTCTAATGTGATGCTCTGCAGATGAGTCAAAATACCCCTTCTCTGCTAGCAGGTACTGAGGTTGGGAAAGGTTGCTGGCATGGTTGGAGCGTTTCCTGATGGAAGGCTTGTGATGCTGCCTGTCAAAAGATCTTGTCCACTCATCTTAGCTTTCCTTTGCAACAGTTTTCCAGCAGGAGGAAGGATGGCAGAAGCAGCATGAACACACCAGAAGGTTATGGGTGGAAGCTGTTGCCATGGGGGCTTTCCATCAAATTCTGTGAATGAAGTAGGGTCATTGTATAATAAAAAGAGGAAGAAAGAAGCATTGTTCTTGGTGAAATCCTATACCCCTTTATTGGGGAGTGAACTCCAATGAATATAGTGAGACGTACTTCTGAGTAAACATGCATAGGATTGTACCTTCCATGTTCCCTTCTCAACACATTTGATGGCTGTTGCCCCGCTGAAAGCATCTTCGTTAACACATGGTTTAAAAATGCATGTATTTGCATAAACCAGTGTGGTGCAGTGGTTAAGAGCATGGGACTGGGACTCAGGCAACCTGGGTTCTAGTCTCCGCTCAGCCATGGAGCCAACTGGGTGACTTTGGGCCAGTCACAGACTTTCAGCCCAACCTACCTCACAGGGTTGTTGTTGTGGGGATAAGATGGAGGAGGAGAATGATGTAAGCGCCTTGAGCCCTCTGTAGGAAAAAGGCAGCATATAAATCAACAAACAAACAAACAAACCTAAAACAAGCAACATGAACGGGGAAATGCATGCTTTGAGTTGAAGCCAGACTTGATTCTGTTTAGAGGAGACCATTGAAATCAAAAGAGATTGATTTCAATTATTTCCCTCTAATTGTGCCTAAACTTGGATCCAATCCAGAATGTTTTAATTGTTGTAATAGGAATGAGCAAGAGACAGTTGGCAGAGTCTCAGGAGGAGTATTCTGGCCTGTGAGTTGTGAAAGGAGAAGGGATCCTCCCAGTTGGCTAGCCATGGGTTTTGCAAGTACTTTGATTCACAGGTATTTTAAAAGTGTCTTTTAAAAATAAATTCCTGATGGAGGAGGTATATTTAATTGATTGGGTTTTTTAACTGATGAATTCATGGGCAAAGACTATGATCCTAAGTCTTACTCACCTGGAAAAGTAAAGCTGAAGAAACTTGGTTTTACGGCAGAGGTAGCTCAAAGAGGGCGGGGCAAAGACTTGGCAATGGTCAACTTGCTCGCTTGGGTCAAAGCTCAGCTGAATTTGGGGGGATTTGCTGATGAATAAACATGGTTTGGGTCGGGTTGTGCAACTGATTCTAAAAGCTACTTTCTTTTGGGTAAAAATGCATAGGGTTGCATTATTCACCTTTTGGCCTCCTTCCACAGCTTGCTACTGGATGTGCTCCGTCCAGTCTCCTCTCGCGTGTTGTCCTTCCAGAAAAACTTGTTTTGTATTGCACTGCAGCCATTTTATCCTTGCTCAATGATATCAACTTTATTTCTCACATGTTCATAAATTACTGCCTAATATTTGACCTCCGCACTCCGCAGCCATTCAGGGCAAACCTGACTGGGATCACATGATCACTGTGGCTTAAACAGGTAGCTTGTTTAAGCCATGATGCATGTGGGATGCCATGCACGTAATCACTGTCTGAGCACAGTTTGTCATGTTGAAGCCTGAGCAGCCTG